ATAGTTGTGCAATTTCTCTCATAAATAACCTGAACATTGGAGATAAAAAATCGTATTCACAATCTTCCTGGCAAAATACACATACGCAATCACGAGATACTTTTTGTAAACTTGGAAGATTTGATCTGTTGGTTACAACATTTGGGAATTGTTTAAAAAAATTGCACCATAGCAAAACAGAGGACGTCCTCAAGTACATCAGCAACACGTAGGAGGACTCCTTGAAACACATGAAGTCATGTGTTTACGGCCACAGGAGACCTTCATAAATACTGAGAGTAAAGTCAATGAGCGATTTAAAAGTAGCTGGAGTCCAGATAAAAAATAGAAATAAAAAAGGGATTAACTTAGCTCTGCCATGTCCATAAAATTGTTTAGGAACAGTGAAAATTGTGGCTGCATGTTTGTGTGACCTGACAGTAAACAGGAACGGTGACACTCCGCAGCCTCTTCCATTTAAATGTGACAGAACCCATTCATATTTACCAGTGGTCTTGCTGGAAAGTGTGATGTGAGCAGGTACACACCCTCTGTTTGACTTTCAGGTTTGTTTGCAGTAGATAGGGGAGGGCCAAGGGGGATGCAGAATGTGTTTGAGCGAAGCAGGCAAAGGGGGGGCTTAAGGTCCGTGCTGGCAGGTGAGTGGTGGACGGGAGCACACCTCCTGCGTCTGTCATTACGCACTTACTCAAAAACAAGTTAATCAGTAAACTGACACACTTAGGAAGAACAAAAGCAGGGTAACATTGAGGAAAACTTGGATCACATCCCATTTCTGATTATCAGTTATTTTTTCCTAATGTAAATGAAATCAGATAACTTTAAAGTGTTCTAATCTCCATTTCCATCCAGCGATAGAGGAAAACAACACCTCATGAATCTGAGACAACTCTCACTCAATGGGCCAATTAAATAGGAAAGTGGCATAAATCCTTACTATCACTAGCGCTCAATAGGCCAGTGAAGTGGGGAAATAACATAGATCCTTACTTTCACTTGTATGAGGGTAAACAACCCTGTCAAGGTAAACACTGTTAAGTAAAGAAAGCCATTAAAGTGACAGATGCAAGAGTGATGGCTGAACGCACTGTAAACACTGCTGCCATCACATGCCTGCGTGGAGCAGCTGATCCAGGGGCTATTTATTCTTCAGTCACCTCACCAGATGATCGTCACAGAGATGGTAGCTGCTTTAGTGAGGTGCCCGGGGGGGCTGTTTACTAATGCCAAGAGAAGTTTGATGGGGGTAAGGTATGAGAGAGTAGATGATTAAAGTTAAGTATGTTAAGCAAATTACCTAAAGTACCATATATCTATCTATGGATTTTTAGAGAAAAAAATCCTTAGTGATGTAGAAAACAATGTTGTCTGAGAGCGGAGAGTCAATCAAAAGTCCAAAACAATGAGAAAAAAGACACTAAAATGCTACGTAAAGCTGAGGGGAACTGATGTCTTTCACATTAACACGTTATTGATCCAACTTTTGTGTAAAAATATCGCTTAGGAAAGCTTTAAAAGGTTGTCACTACAACATAAGAAAAATGTGTTTTTAATAAAAAAATTGAAAAAAATTGAAAATTTAGAATTTTCCACATTTTACTGAGAACAAAATCTACAACGAAAAAAATCCCAAAAA